ACTTCTTCGATACTGACGGCACTGCATTATGGCAGAACCTGTGCTGTCAGGTGGTGAAGGGAGGTCAGCCCGTAATAATCTTGCTTACGTTCACCAGGTATGGTGGCCTCACATGAACAAATGGCCTATGGAACAACCAAGATCCATTTTCAAAGACCCAACCCCACCTTAGTGGAGAGATGCTATCTTTGTGGCCTCAAAGTTCATTAAGTGATGAATATTCTGGTTTATTGAAGTATGGTCCACATACCCTGAGGAACGGTCCTTGGGCCCTGTGCAGGCCAATCTAATACCTACAGAATGTTGAGATAATATGTGACTTAAGTCTATCAGATTGATAGAAGCATAGGTATAAGTCATTATTGATGGAAAGATAGCAAAAATTCTTTTGATAAATGAAACAGCAGTATGTCAACAGTGATATGGATAAAAGATGGACCACTTGCCCAGGGTAAACACCAGCATGCCACTGATGACATGGGCTTGATCACACCCTTCATTCTAGTAGGCTCAAGTTCCAGGACAGAAAGGAACGTAAGGTAACCTTAGGGTCAACTGTCCTATTGCAGTTAGCCCTCAGCACTCCTCAATGTGGAGGCTTTGAGAGAACTGAAGGAGAGAGCATCTGAAGGGAAAATTAGTGATACTCAGCACGGACAAGGCTGGCTTTAGTAAACTACAAACAGAGTTGAACTGTTTTTCCCACTTGCTTTTTCATCTGGGGTGTGTGTGTGTGTGTGTGTGTGTGTACCCATTAGTATGATTAATACTGATTGAGAAGGTTTTAACTAAAGTCCTCATAAGACAAGTATCATGAATCAAATAGTAAAGTGTCAAATTCCTTCTTAAAAGAAATACTACTTTATTTAAAAAAAACAAAAACAAACCCTGCCTTCACTCCATATCCTTAAGTTTAAAAAATTCTGTAACATTCGATACATACATACCAAGAGTATACACATGTACGCTCCACTAATGATGTAGAATCTCCCTGTGTGCTTCTCACCTTTGCCCACTTACAAAATCTTGTAAGTAGTATATTCTTATTAAGGGAGGCTATTACAGTAACACTTTCTCATGCCCACTGGTAAGATTTTTGTTGGGTATTGTTGATGGATTTTTTAAAAAAGTTATTTTAAAAATATATTATGAAAATTATTAAGCATATCCAAAGATAGAAGGGCTGGTCAAATGAACTCCTGTTTGCTCATCACATGTCCTCAGCAACGATCGGTGCGTCATCAGTCTTGTTTTACCTGTTGTCTCCGTTCTCCCTACCTCATTCTGAAGCAGTCCTCAGACATCACCCAACTAAAGTTAGTATTTGTCTCCCAAATGGAAGAAGTCTTTTTAAAAACATAACTGTGGGACCATTATCAGACCTAAAAATATTAACAACTTTTAATATAGCAAATATCAGGTGTTCAAACCTTCTAACCAGTCTCATAGATTTGTTGCAATCCTTGGTCGAATTGGGATCCAAAGGATGTCTACACATGGCATTTGATTGGGGTAGCTCTTAAATCTCTCCTAAATTTTATTCCTCTGTTATTTTTTTCATTGCACTTTTTTTGGTGAATGTGTTATTTGTACTTGAGGATTTTGCCAGTGTCTAATATATTTCTCCATCTTCTGTCTATCATCGTAATAGACAATCATGGATCCAGGGTGAGTTTTTCTTGGCCAGAAAATCCCCAGGTGAGGTTGTATATTCCCTCCTGCATCGCCACATGTATGGCGTCTGGCCGTGTCCTCTCTAACCTCTTTACCCCATCATGGACGGGGGTGAAGAGGTTAGAGAGGGAGACCATCTGGCATGGGTGGGGGTAACCAGGCAAACCAGACAATTACTTTTGATAACACTTTCAACAATTCTGGGTAAAATTTATCTAACTATGCTTACCTGTGTTCTGTTGTGGTGGAGGGTGTCAAAATGTTTAGAGGAGAAAAGACACATCCCTTTTGAGAAGTAGCAACATGTGTGACTCAGTCAGGCCTTGCTGGAGGTCTTCATGCAGTGGACTTACAGACTCTCCCTTTAAAGGAACTTCAGAGGTACTCAGGAAAGGGGAAGTATCAGAAATGCACGGAATGTGGGGTTTTCATGTTCTCTGCTTGGAGCTCTTGATGTTGGAGCAGATCATTCAAGCTGGGAGGTATGGGCACACTCAGACGTGGGAGTCAGGCCGAGTGAGGTTTCAAAGAGATAATTAGCACCTACAGCCTCAAAAGCAGCTAAGTACTAAATGAAAGAGGTGTAGACAGGAGACAGGAATCATAATGGTGGCCTGTGGGCAGAAGAGAAAGAGAAATTGTGGAAGTAGAGATGGAAAGAATCACGTCAGTAGTAACGGTCATTTAAAAGCATTTCCCTTTCTTTTCAATTAAGGCCTTGCTTTAACTAGAATTATGTTAGAGTTTGTAGGTCAGAGGTAAATTAAAAGATAGGCAGGGAAGCAAATTAAAAGGCAAACAGTTTCAACGTTTCTTATAATCCATGATTTTTGCACCATTAAAAGCTAGATGCTGCTTAGCTCATAACGGGACATGGGCAAAATAGGATGGAGGGCAAAGGACTTGGAGATGGAGGTTGTTAGGGCATACTCCCAGCGGGGCCTCCAAAATGTTAGGTCAGGCCCATTGGGAGTGTGGGGTATCTCTCGTGTGCAATCGGATACTGCATGAAAAATGCAAAGAATTGCACAGAAGTTAGATTAGAAAATATAGTTTATTTAGAAAGTAAATTGTAGAGAGAAAGAGGGGATAACCCTCCCCAAGGGGAGGGGAGGAGGCCAAAGCTTAAGAAAACATGGCCTGGCTATAGCTCAAAGAGCATATAGCCACACCATAGCTTAGCAAGACAAAGGCCAGGAAATGGTAGTGGCATTGACGATGGCAATGGCAACTGGCTGCTTGAGGTTGAATGCTTTTAACCCTTCCCTTTGATGGGGGAAGGTCATTAAGGTGATTGGGTGGTGGTCTGCTCCACATCGGCAAGAAGGGACAAGTAAGCACAGGTACTGACATCCGGTGATGGAGAGCAGACAGATGGGTGGGTTAGTCACATGATTACTGCCAGGGTTGGGAGGGAGGAGTCCTGTCTGTGTCAGTAGGTCACAGGTCAGGAAAGACTGATTAGCTTAATTTGGGGATCTGGGCCTGGAGGGGTTTTTCCTGCAAGAGACCTTTTTAATTCACAAGTTCCCTGACTAAAAGGTGGTCTTATTATCATTTCTATGGCTTCAGCCAGCCAAGATGTGATCTTTGACCTTCTGCCTTTGACCTGAAAGTTTCCTAGAGATTATTATACTAAACCATGAAATGAAAGATTGTGCTGTTGGGCTGTCCTAGTCTTGCATCTGATGGCAATTTGCCAAGGGGGTGGTAGGTAGGCTGCCGCTTGACCTGAAGTAAAATGTAATTTTAAAATGTCTGAATGCCCCCTAAAACCTGCCTTTTGGAAATTTATCTTATCTATGTCTAACCTGTGCTGGATTCAAAGCGTGTCAGGTTTCTATAGGTTTCTATAGGTTTCTATAGGTACCTTCTTTCAGAGGTTCAAGCCTGACTCTTGTGCTTTTTTTTTTCTTTGTAACTTTCTTGAGGAATATTTACACATCATAGAATTTACCCATTTCAAGTACAAAATTCAATGGATTTTTGCATAAATTGACTCAGATGTTCAGCCTTCAGCATAAACCAGTTTCAGAACACTCTCATTCCTCAATCACATACCTCATGTCCATTTACAAGTAATCTGTGTTCTTTCCCTGGCCCCAGAGACCACTAGTCTACTCTCTGTTCCTATAGATTTACTTTTTCAGGACATTTCTTATATCCCATAATTAATGGGATCATGCAATATGTCTGGCTTCTTTCGTTGAGAATGATGTTTTGAGGTTTGTTTGCCTGGTAGCATGTACTCATAGTTCATTCCCTGATTCCTGAATTTACCACATTTTGTTTGTTAATTGCCAGTTAGTGGGCATTTAAGTTGTTTCCAGTTTGGGGTTAGTATGAATAACACTGCTAAGGACATTTATATGCAAGTCTATGTGTGGAAATATGTTTTCATTTTCCTTGGATGTATACCCAAGAGTGAAATCGTGGGATCACATAGTAAATTTATGTTGAACTTTGAAAGAAACTGCCAAACTGCTTTCTAAAGTGGCGGCCCCAGCAATGACGAGGACTCCTGTTTGTCCACATCCTCCCTGCCCTGAATTAAGATCTCTGTGCAGAGTTGGACAGGCTTTAGTTCCTTCTTTAATAAAACAGGTGAATGGGAGCTGACCAAGTGCCTGTTCTGTCCTAGACATTGTGATAGAAGCGCTCACATACTTTATCTTACTTCACTCTCATCCCATTGAAATGTAGGTATTATTTTTTTATATATGTGATGAATTTACTCAGGTTCAGAGAAATTAGGTAAATTAGTCATCATTGTAAGGCAGGATTGATTGATACCCCGTGGTCCCAATAAGGCAGGATTGATTGATACCCCGTGGTCCCAATCACTGTAGTGGCAGAAATATCACAGAGACATTCTCTAACTCAAATCACATAATCTTCACTGCAGAAGCTAATAAGAGCAACTCGTTCAGGATGTGATTATCTCTCTTATTAGTTGTTTTTATTCTTGTGTCTTCTTTCATTCTCTGTTCACAATAGTGGTAATTACTTTTCCAAATTCTAGAGAGAGGAGTCCTGAAAAAAATATATATTCGTGTTGCCAAGAAGTTAATGAACTTGATGAATTTGAAATGGACTTGGATCAGTCGCTCTGAAGATTGCCCAAGTGGCAATAGAAAAGGCTTGATAAATATCTTAGTCAAATTCAAGGGAATTTTTAATGTTAAAATATATTTTCAAAATATATTAAATACATTATTAAAACATATTATAAGATATATTCATCTATTATTAAATATACTAAAATAAAATATTATTCTACATAGTTTTAAAAAATCGGTAACGTGGCATTTGTTGTGTCTTTTCAGGGGGAGCCTGGGGTCAGAGGCCCTCCAGGCCCTTCTGGACCTCGGGGCATAGGAACCCCAGGGCCAAAGGTGAGTCCTCAAGTCTGTGCTGTGCATCAGGGGTCAGACCCCGTCAGTGGCAACCAAGTAAACAGTAACTTCATAATATGTGTTCATTTTGGTGTTGGCTTACTTTTTTCTTGATTAGGTGAAGAGTCTTATTTTTTCATATCAGGTGAACATCTGGTAAAATAGAATATTAAAGTTTATAAAGCCGTTCCCTTCCCCAGAAGAAATTAGAAAGTCAGCCTCTCTTAAGTAGTTGCAAGATGCTCACATTTCCAGATGTCTTAGAGGCTGTGCTGTTATCAAGAAGCACTTCTGAGCTTTGGCTAGAAGTGGTCAGGTGACCTTTTAACAGGTTGCCTGATCATGTATCTGTGAGTGCCAGGTCTAGTCTGGCAGGGCCATCGTGCAAAGGTCTACATTGATTGCCCCAGAGAAGGTGGGAGGAACTTCCTATGGCCCATTTTGCACTCATCTCTATACCTCCTTCTTCTGTCTCCTCCATTCTGGTGATTATTCATCCTTTTATTGTTTTAATTCAGTGTTTCTCAATGAGAGAGATTTTGTTCTCTCCTTCCCTGCACTAGGGGGACATTTGGCAATGTCTAGGAACATTTTTGGGTGTCACAACAGGGGAAAGAGTGCTACAAGCATCTGGTAGGTAGAGTCCCAGGATGCACAGGAAAAATGATCCCGCTTGAAATGTAATGTCAGTAGTGCTAAGTTTGAGAAACCTAGTTATAATTACTCATTCACTTGTTCAACAAATTTTTTTTTATTGGTTCAAAAAAACCCAAAGAAATAGCAGGCATGTTCACAGGGAAAACAGATGTCAATGAGCCATCCACCACAAATTCAAATTTCAAATAGATTATTCACATCCCAAATGCATAGAAGTGAGTTCGAACCCCGCCATCAGAAAGGGAAGGACAAGGCTTCACGAGTCCAAGATTTCACTGAGAATTCCCACATCACCAGATTCTTAGTTTACCCCTTATTTGTCCATCAGCTCCATTCTGGCAGTATGTTATTTTTGAACTTTCTATTACTTTATATACGTGAAGATCCCTCCAAGATGTTAGTAGTCAGTTTCACAGAGTGATAGGAAAATGGGTCTATTTTTCTTCTTTTATTTCATCTTCATTTCTGTTTAAAATTCTTTTGTAAGCCGGGCTCGGTGGCTCAGCCTGTAATCCCTCACCTTTGGGAGGCTGAGGTGAGTGGATTGCCTGAGCCCGCAGGTTCGAGACCCACCTGGGCAGTAAGACCTCATCTCCACAATAAATAAAAAAATCAACTGGTCGTGGTAGCACATGCCTGTAATTCCGGCTACTTGGAAGGCTGAGGCAGAAGGATCTCCGGAGCCCAGCAGGTCGAGGCTGCGGTGGCCGGGCGCGGCCACTGCACTCCAGTCTGGGCGACAGAGTGAGACTCCAACTCAAAAAAAAAATTCTAGTCAGGCTCGGTGGCTCAGCCTGTAATCCCGTGCCTTTGGGAAGCTGAGGTGAGTGGATTGCCTGAGCCTGTGGGTTTGAGACCCGCCTGGGCAGGGA